TTCGCTTCATCGACGAATACACCTGCATGGCCTGTCTCTTTTTCCTGGCCATCGCTCTTCACGACTGCTACCTAAACTCAACCTCCCTCGACCCCTACATGGAATGGCTAAGCATGGAAATCAGAAACATGAACCCATTCACCAACCCCAGCATTACATCCGTCCTCTGGCTCTTCCTCAACAACGGCGGCTACCCGCCAACTCACCGCGGCGATACTGGCGCCCGGTGCTGGATCGTTTCCCGCATGGTCCGAGTCGCCAAGCGCCTCGAATGGAAACGTCACGGCACGATTTGGGACCGTCTCCGCCAAGTCCTCATCGACTTCATCGTCACTCAACAAGAATGCGCACTCGGATGTGACCAAATCGACGCCGAAACTCTGGCCGCTCGCCAACGCAAACGTCTCCTTCATGTCCAGGAAGACGCATCCCCTTCTTCATCCTCATCTTCACCAGACTACTTCTGGAACGAGGCCCAGATGCGTGAAGATATCCTGAACTTTAGTTTATCCTCCATTACGACCACAGATGTGGGTGACGATACTACAAATATACCTGTTTTTACCTGAGTAATCTTTCTATTCTTCTCTTCTTTCGCCTATTCTTATGCCTTACGGCGTATATGTATGTTGTTTTACTCACACCGCATCAACTTCATTCAGTTATCACTGGGCGTTGTTTTCACGAGAGAGGGAAATCGGGATACTACTACTGGACGACTAGGAAATGGCGCAAACGGGGAACCATGGACTGACTTACGCTTTTAACGAGACAAAGACGACAGATGAATGAATGACTGACTGACTGGGAATAATGAAGACGGATGGTGTTTTGGGCGTTTCACACGGCAAATTGAAAATGGAATGAAATGATGGGATGGGATGGGATTGGACTGGGTATATGTTTTTTTACCTATTGACTACGGCGTATCGTGCCGAGCTAAGCTGGTTATACAAGGCCTTTTCAACAGGGCTGGACCTCTATTCTTTTTTTGGATGGTGAGTGGGTAGTAATGAGGGGTAGATTGTGAGGAAGACTTTTTAATCTAATTCATCTAGTCAGTAGTTGATTGCAAATCTTTGATGTCATATGTAGTGCAGGGAGGGGATGACAGAATAGATCAAGTTCCCAAATGCGTTTTCAATGTTACCAGTATCATGTAAGATGATGCAGTTGTGTCACTTTGTACGATGCAATCGTAAAGTATCTATCTCTCGCTGAGACTATCATACACAGCATACAAAAAGAAATAAATGGAAAAATAACAATAAAACCATCAACCAGTGGGTATTTGTATTACGTCCCTAAACCACAAGAAACAAAAACAAGAATCCTCGACAAGTAAAAAATAAATGGAAGGGGGCATCAAGGCAAACAAAGCATGCAATCGGCCAGCAACATCATCATCTAGATAAATAAATTGAGCAAGATAGGCAATGACAAGCAGCAGCATAGAGCATAGTATAAGACAACATAATGATCATCGTGCACGCCGTTATTGACAGATCAGGTGGGGTGTGATGTGTGAGGTGGGGTAAAGTTCGATGCAAAGTAAAATGGGGAATAAAAAAGGGAGAAAATTCACAATCACTACCAATCAAGATCAATGGTATCAAACGCAAAGACAAGATGAGCACCTGCTGAAAATTGAAAACATATAGAACGGATAGGCTTGGTAGAACTTTTTTTTTCCCAATGCGAACTGAACTGTACTTCTTTGCTGGTTCGTTTCACGTGTTTCTAGCTGGTAATGTCTTGATGATCATCGACATCAGCATCTCAGCGTGTCCGTATCCACATCCATGATATCATTAGTAAAAGAAAGAAACGCAATGTCAAAGACGTTAAAGTGTGTCTAGGTCGGTTTATCGCATCCGATCCGACCGAGTAACGCTTTGTGATCACTCTGGTCGCCAAGACGAACACGGCCGCGTCCACGAGGCCGTACATTCGAAGAACCATTGGCACGGCGCCAGTCCGCACTAGAGCCATCGGTCGGGACAGCTGTGCCATTGGGGCCATCCTTACCCGAAACATCTTCTTCTTCCTCTTCGTCGTCGCTGCGAGGCTCCTCGGCATTTCCAGTGCGGAGGACTCCGACTGCGACTCGGATGACCATGGTGAACCAGATAAGCGAGAGGGCCTGCAGCGCCAAAAGGCAGGAAAGGAAGATCCATTTGACGGTGCGATTCATGCAAATTGGGCCACTGATGTCCTGGAATGGATAAAGCAAGTATCGCCAGCGGTTGGGGTATGCGTCGGTGGAAGTCATTTCCGAAGTGGTACCGGAGTAGCAGCCGTATGCCATCCTGGCCGGGACGTCCTTGTAGATGGACCAGCACAGTCTCGGGTAGTAAATATGGCGCGTGATGAGCCATGTAACCATGAACACACCAAAAGCGACATTGCAGGTGGTCTCATACTTCAAGTATTTCAGGATTTTGGCCGCCTGGTATTCGAATTAGCTCACGTCTTCATACCTAGGGTCAGATTCCTACACACCGGTAACAAGAGGTCCACAATGTCCATGAGCGACAGTACCACGTTGGATACATTGTAAAAGCCGTAGATATAAGCCGATCCGAAGAGTGTGATGGTGATGACATGGTGAGTCAACATCTGATAGTGGTCTTTCCGGCGCTCCTCAATGTTGATAACTAGGAGCATCTGCACCCAGAAAGCCAATTGCACCAGAAGGTACCATTTCATCAAACCCGACACATTGCGTGCGGGCCACTGATCCCAGATGGCGCTGAAGTCGCCCCAATAGTAGGAGTTGGACCAAATGTACTGTATCCTCAGAGTCAGCACGCCCGATCATATAAGCGCAATGTCAAGTACGAACCATGCCAAGGGACCAGAAGAACCCATAGTATAGGCAGAGCCAGCCTTGCTCAGCCAGACGGACCGAGGCCTTCCGTTTCAATCCGCAGCGTTGCGCCAGTGGCTGGAGCATCCAGTCGATAACAATTGCCCGGATAGCGATGAACGCAATCGCGGAGCTGGCGATAAAGTAGATGTCGTCCCATCCTTGCACATAATCTCCGGTGGCAGGCTGGTAGTAGGACAGCTGGAAGAAAGGGGTGGTGTAGGGATTCAAGGAAGGGTAGAGGTGGTGAACGGCCAGTAGCATGGAAAGAATGGTCAACGAAATACCTATATACGGAAAAGTTCTGGTTAGCGCACAGAGTTCGCATGGAATTGGTCGTTTGTTTTGTAGAACATTGACGGGACAAAACATTGAATTATTATCGGAAGCTGCATGATTGGTTCATACCGATCTGGTTGGCCAGCATCCATTCCCGGAACGTGGTTTCTTTGGCGGCTGGGCGGTGATGTCCGCTGGAGGTGGAAATGCGGGCATTGAGCTCCGAGGCCGACTGCGAAGCCGGCAACGATGCGTCTCTGGCCATGACGAGACACGCAATTTACGGAAGGGGTCGGGAATCCAGACCCAAACAGCAGTAGCGACTGATTCCGCGAAAAAGAGGGTGGTGACCAATTGAGGGGAAAGAAGTCTCCGAGTGGGAGGAGCGAAGGAGAAAAAGCAAGGAGCTCGATTGGCGACCGTCAAGCTGGCCGAAAGAAAGAGAGAGAGAGGGAAGGGAGCGAGAGCGATGGGGATCGAAGGAGGTACGTCGCGGGTCTAGCGAGAGCGGGCGAAAGTGGTTCCCGCCCACGGCTTGGATTGGGAGTGAGTGAGTGGCAGCAGTGGGCTGGCCGCAGCTGCTGTTCCCTTTTTTTTCTGTTGAGACCGACAACCTGGGCTGAGACTCGTCGAAAAGACTGGAGACGATTTTGAGAGACAGAAGCACCACCCGCGGTTCCACGGCGGGTACCTGGGATTGATTAATCGGTAGGCTTTTTGGGGGGAAGTGGAAGATGATTCCCTGTTGGGGGGAACGGGGCTCAGCACGGCACACACCCTTGGTAAATGAAGAGTATAGTTAATACAGCTGAAGTCTGTCTGTCTGTCTCCCGGGCCGAGCCTGCGACGGATATAGGGACTTGTTGAAGTAGTAAACAAACAAAGCAGTTGTCCCCCAAAATTTCACACAGAAGTTGAGAAGGTCAAAAAATTGCTCAATGCCCGGATTGCTTGTCTGGAGAGAAAGTTGGAACAGGCGAGGGGGGAAAGGGCAGCGAGGAAGAGAGTGACGATCTCAAGAAAGGGAAAAATAAATAATATATACAAATTACGATGAGGGGAAGGTATTGACTGTATCACGTCTGTTTCAAGGCTTTTCGGCCCACTCGCCGTTACGTACGCGGTGTTTCTTGGCCTTTAAGTCTACCCAGTGACTTTTTCTGGGGACATCCACAGCTGGTACTTGGACGGTACTTACACCACCGCTGACGCCGCCCGATAATCCCAAGTATCCCACTGGTCGCTCTGGTTGGGACATCCAGTCTCACCGCCCATGCTTTCCTTTCCTAACTTTCATGCATGCATGACTGTGACGTACCATGGTAAAGTAAAACAGTAAAATAAATGCAAATTGGAAAGTTTAGATAGATAGATAATCTAATTATCAAAGGTAAGTCAATACCGAGGAAGTTGGACTACATAGTAAGTGTAACTTGGGACTAGTAAGGTGTCTCAAAGAAACAAGGTTACTACTTGACTGGACCTTTCCCCCAATCGTTGGCTGTCTTCCTCTCACCTGCTCCTCCCAAAGGTTCTCCCGCTTCCTCTTCTTTTGCGACTCAGAAAGCGATCGCCCGGTCTTCTGATCATCGGGATCCAATCACCGAATGAAGGATCCTTCGCCTAACTTGAACGAACCTTTCTCATTGCATTAGTCTGGATTTTTGCGGAGAAGCAGCACTAGTCTACAATTCTTAATAAGCGTGTTCTATCATCATCAATCACCATCTTCTTCCTTCTTCATGCTCGCCTATCGTTAACTTCGCAGCTAGTCTGCCGTCTATCTACTCAGAGTTATCTATCCCGTATCACAGACCCGCTGATCATATTATATAAGTACAGAGTTCAGGCCTCATTTTCCACCGGATGGAGGCGCACGATTATGCTGCATGTGTGCCTTAACCAGATGACCAGCAGCCAGCGCGGCGCAGAGCGACAACTCCGCAGCTAAAGTAGCTGCCGCGATGATGCGAGCGAGCTGCCGAGCATTCGCTCCCGGTTCGGTGGGATGCGATCCTCGGATTCCAAGACTGTCGAGCATGGCGCTTTGAGGTTCCAGGATGGTGCCACCTCCTAGTGTACCAACTTCAATAGAAGGCATCGAGACCGAGATCTGGAGCGAGCCGTGAAGGCTGGAAACGATTAGAGTCATTTTCGCAGATGGGCTAAGTTGGACTTACTTCTTCATGATGGTGATACAGTTGGCACTCTCTGTAACCTGTGCCGGATCCTGCCCCGTCGCGATAAATATCGCTGCTACCATGTTAGCAGCATGTGCGTTGAATCCTCCTATAGACCCAGCCATGGCCGATCCGATCATGTTCTTAGCTACAAAGAGCTCGACCATGGAGTCAACATCAGACTTCAACACGCTCTTCACAACATCTCCTGGAATGATGGCTTCTGCAACAACGCTCTTTCCACGTCCTTCAATCCAGTTGATCGCTGCTGGCTTCTTGTCGGCACAGAAGTTACCACTCAGTGTTATGATCTTCATGTCTTCAAATCCGGCAGACTTCATCACTTCCAGGGCGTACTCAACGCCCTTGGAGATCATGTTCATTCCCATAGCATCGCCGGTAGTAGATTTGAAACGGATGTAAAGGTTAGTGCCTGCAATCGCAGTGGTCATGGATTGGAGCCGCCCGAAGCGAGTAGTCGAATTGAAGGCCTTTTGCATTGTCGTCTGACCTTCCTCGGAGTCAAGCCAGATCTTAGCAGCACCCGCGCGATCCAGGGTTGGAAAGCTAACACAGGGACCCCTGGTCATTCCATCCGCTGTCAACATGGTTACAGCACCGCCGCCAGCATTGATGGCCTTGCTTCCTCTACTCGCGCTCGCGACAAGGACACCTTCAGTAGTCGCCATAGGAATGAAGTAGCTCCTTCCGTCAATGACTAAGGGCCCGGCAAAGCCAACGGGGACTGGCATGTAGCCTACAACATTCTCACAGCATGCACCGAACACCCGAGACCAGTTATAGTTCTCATACGGGAGCTTGGAGTGTTCCAGAGCATTGGTGGTATCTGCCGTGGCCTTGGTGCGGGAAATGACAGCGCGGCGAATCTTAACAGCGCGGGTAAAGTCTTTCAGGGTCTTCTCCAAGGCATAGCCGGGGATTTTTCCGCGCAGAGAAAGCTCCACAACCTCCTCATCGGTTAACTCATCGGCGCGTTTCTCTGCAAGCATCATTTCCATTTCCTCTGGAGTACGCTTGATCGCTAATTCTTCCCCGGCTGCTGGGCTAGTTGGAACAACAGCTCGTTGGCACTCGCACGGTACATTACGAGACACCACATTGACTGGCTTCTCTGACTCAGTGGAATGCTCAGGAGTATTCTTAACGCCCTGCCTAGCTGCACTGAAGAGGTGGCTGTTGAGGACAACACTCAGCACCAGGGCGGCAATCACCCACTTACAAAAGACCGGATCATCCAGGCTCTTGAGCAAGCCACCAACAACACGACCGCCGATACCGTATCCATCAAGGGTGAAAGCCATGTCCCCATTGTCATCGGAAGACCCCATTCCAGGAAAGCCGTAGTGCAACTCATACTTGACCGGGGCGAGGACCGTGACAAATGTATCTTGGCCGCTCGACCTGGCCTTGTCAAGGATCACGTCGAGCCCATGGGAGGCTATCTTAAAGGGATCCACTGGTGGAGACATGCCCATACCACCCAGTCCGCGAGCCAGATCCTTAACTGAGTGTGTATTGCGGAAAGGAACCATACACATGCTGGCAATGTTGACAAGGAGAAAACCGCCTACCATAAGGACCTTGAATCGAGGAACATGCGCACTCTTGCCGAAAAGCGTCGTTTCAGGCTTGCTCGGGCTGCTCCTAGCCACATCCTCGGCCGTTTGGGAGCTGATACCGTCGTCTTCCAACGCCTTACGCATATCGGTGTACCCCTTGATCTGGTTGACTTCGAGCTTGATGCAGACGATTGCCGTATAGAATGTAAAGAGAAAGATGGCATCAAAGAACAAAGTCCATGCGGCTAAGAAGCAAAACTGCTGTAGCCCTCCCTGCACCCCAGATAAAGCTCCCAATACGAGAATCCCGATCTCTATCGCATATTCCTTAGCGATCTCTGATCCCTTGTCGGTTATGACAGACTCGATGGCGGACTGTGTGTTAACCGAGGGGCTGCGGTGATCCATGGCATGCTCTAGGATAGCCCGCGTTAGACCGATATACCTTTCGAAACCGACAATGACCACCAAAAATGGCAAGCCTTCAGAGAGGAGAACCATGTTGACGGGTACACCAAGCTCCACAGTGACGAAAAGTCCAAGCACGAAGGCAAATGTGGATGAGAACAAAACACTCGTGGCAAGCCAGAATTTAGAGCCCATGCGATACATGGAAAAGAACAGCGATGCGAATGTCATATGCATGAAGATATATCCCAGCAGCATAATGGCGATATCCGCCGTTTGGGTATTCTTGAGGAGGTCCACGAAGCTGACCCAAGCATCTTTTGCTCGGTCTGCTAGACTGTTCTGCGTTTGTGCTCGTGCATTCTTCATTATCCACTGTCCTGGGCTGCTGCTCGGTACTTCCTGGACCATTGCCAGGAAGTCGGATGCTTGGCTGTAGGGGAGGGAGAAAGCATGAACGTGTTCCTTGGAGTTGGTGCTGAATGATTTGGATGTCGAGGGCAAAGGCGTGACAGAGAGGTTGCTCGGCAACTGGAGCAGGGGCGTGGCCGGGGACTCGTAGAAGGTGTCTGTCCACTCCGGGAATATCAAAGTCAGAAGCGCGGTATGGTCGATATCACTGGAAAGGTCGACATCGCTGGAAACTGGAGCGTTTGGAACCTCCGCCTGCCAGTTCCAGTCTGACTGAGGGCCCGCATAGAGTCGTCTACTCCCGGCAGTGAGTGATGACCAGTCTGCCTTTGCCACAGACTTGGTCTTGTCGAATATACTGTCTTCCAACAGACTGCTATATAAGGAGCTAACCAGCAAGGCGACAGCAGCCACTGTGTGTATAGGATGCGCCGATGCAAGCCGGGAGAGGGAGAGCAATCCCGGTGTGATCTTCTCCTTGAACCATGACGGAGTCGTCTGAGACGACTCCGGCTGGTTCCCACGGAAGCGCGAGGATATAAGTGAGCCAGCCATCCTCTGCAAGAACCGAAGAGGATGTCTCTTGTCTCACGTATCAGCAATCACTCAGAAGAAGGGAATTGAGTAGCTGAAGTAGAATGAATCAACTGACTGCCCCCCGGAATTAGGGGAATAAGATTAGGGGAATAAGACACAGATCATCAAAATTCGGCCGAGCAAAACTGACCGACAGAAGCAAGCATAGAATGAGCGCGTTCGTTCTCTCGCTCGCTCGGCCGATGAGCTAAAAACTAAAATCTCACCCGTTTGGAACAACAACAACAATGAAACCTACTTACACAGTAGCCTAGCTGATCATCCTACTAGTCCACTTGCTTAGCAGTTAGTTACCCTTTGACCGTGTAGATACTAGCCCGTCTCCGCAATCGCCGACATGACTGGTCCATGCTTTTGTGGCACTCCCGTTATGGAGTGGGTTATGGAGTACTACGGGTGTGGCAGTGCATTCATCCATCATCCATCTCAAGCGGAAAAAATGTTGCCTAAAGTATTCCAACACCAAACCAAGGTTAGGATTTATGTCTCGCTTTTTGTGGACCGATCTCGACTTGTCCGTCCGCGCGCCCCGAGAATCACCGCTGTAGCTTAGCTTAGCTCGTCATTAGTGATCGGGGGAAAGGCTGGGCTGGGCTGGGCTGCATCGGTGGTTTTTGTTTCTTTCTTTCACCGCAGGTAGTTATGCGTCAGCCTAAATCTCAACTAAATGGTTAGTTAGCTTGATAGCTAGTCAATTGTTAGCTAATTGGCTGCTGGCAGCCTGGCTGGGACTGGCCGTTTCGGGGGTTAGCTTTGACGTTGTTGTTTAGACTATACTATATTGATGTGTTTGACTCGGAGTAGGGACTCGGGGATTGGGGCTGGTTTCGGTGCTGGGTAGTTAGTATGGTGTGGCTATTGTTTGCTGTGTTTGTGTGGTATGGTTCTGTGACAGGGTCACTGAGGCTCTGCTGTTCTCGTATTATATGTATGGATGTGTCTCAACGCTCTAGCAACTAATGACAGGTGTAAATGGGTAGATAGATAGATAGGTAGATATCTACATGCTGAGCTTCTCAAACATACATACAATATACATAACTCAAAACACCTAACTACAATCTAATCCACTCTATCAATTCCCCTCCAACCCAGCCGTAACCCCATTAACATACTCCGCCGCATCCATCCCTAACCTCGCCAAATCAACACCCCCTTGCCCGGCCATCGCCCGAGACATCGCGCGGACAACTTCCTCCTCCTCCCAAATCGACGTAGGCGGCACAGCACCCTCCTCATCACCATTTTCTCCTCCACCAACAACCGTACCCGCCTTCATGGCCGGATTATCCACATTCATAGCGACCACCGTGCGCCAATACGCCTCATCCCGATCCCTAAGCATCTTATCCCGGACGACTGCATTCCTCGCCACACTCACAGCATGCAACTTCGACGTAGATCCCGAAAGCGCGCCCAACGACGCAGACACAACCTGATCGACCTGTTCTGCCTGCGACGGCGGAGTGAAGAAGAATCTCCGTGTGGCGGAAAGCCAGATTAGCAGGGCGCATACCCCGTCAAAGATAGCGAATAGCAGCGGACGCAAGAGACCGATTTGATAGTATGAGCTAGATGGGACTGCTACGCCTGCGCGCACAGCCGCGGACGCGTACGCCATCGGGTCGTAGGACATGACAACGTAGATGTCTAGGAGAGTGAATGCAATGCCCATGATGGAGAACTCCTTGCGCCATTTACTTGCGTCCGAACCGGCGAATGTTGAAGAGGTTATGAGGCCGATTGTGGCCATGTGGAAGAGGTGAGGGAGGAGGACGTTGAAGGGGAGGTGGTAGATGGCGTAGGTGGTCAGGTTGTCGAGGGAGCAGAAGGCGCAGTTGGTTAGGGTTTCCGGGCCGAAGCGGAGGTATACCTTGCGGGCAAGGGTGGAGGTGAGTTTGGACTTGAGGAGAGTGTCGGATGGAGTGAGGGATTCATTGGGGCGGAGACGCGCGAGGCGCGAGAAGATGATGTCGGTTGATGTGGTGAGGCGGGAGTTGGTGAGGGTGAAGATGCTGGGACTGGGCGCGTGTGGGTTGAAGGGCAGGCTGAGGCAGAAGAAGAGGGTGATGGTGAGGAAGAGGACGTTCAAGGCTCGACTGGCATCTTGGGGAAGAGGACGTGGTGGTGGGCGGCTGGAGAGGGCGACGCGGAGGGTGCGGTAGTAGTTGATGGCTCGAGGGATGATGATGGGCGCGAAGAAGATGAGGACAGATTTGATCCTGATGAGTGTGATGTGGCGGTTAGTGGTTGGTCTGTATGGGAGGGTCTGGTAGGATGAGTGCGTACGTTGAAAATGAGATCGTTATTTCACCCATCTTTGCGGAGAATAGCGATGGCGCATTGCAGTTCAGTGGTAATGGGATATCCAGATTCAGGACCGTACAAGAAGCGGAAGTTGGCCTCAAGCGGGCTTATCTTATCGCCGGTGGGCGCTAAAGCATGTTTTCCTACTGGCCAGGCACGCGGATCAGGGACACCGCTCAGAACAATAAACTTCCGATCTGGTTTTACGGCGTATGGAGAAGATCGTCGACTCATTTTCAAAAAGGACTTGAATTCAATTCAATGGTTTGGGGTAAAATGAAACATGATTAATCGATTGATATTGCAAGTAGAAATGCAAAACCCGAGAATCCAATATCCCCACTGCCTATGCTCGCTAATTGCCATACTGTCAACGCCAACGTAAATGATGTCCCCGCATTTGAACTCCTTGTCGCGTCGCCGCAAAAGCACATTGTCTCAGTTTGTTTCCTTAGACATGCGATGACTGCATCGCCGGGTGATGAGCAAGATCGGGAATAGTCATTCCTGTGGAGTCCCTCGAGTACTTCGATGACGCCGCATCGTTTATGTTGATAGGATTGACTGGGGAAGATATCTTCAAAGGGAATCGCGTGTGTCGCATAGACATCTGCCTTTTCAACGAGCTTTGTGGACTGTAGGTAGGCAAAGTTTCCTCCCTCTTCATACTTAGCTGGAATGAACGCTGGCTGCCATTGCGCGACATCACTTTCTGGGGCGCCACTGCTCCATAGACCCGCACATGTCGTGCACTGACACCAAGATCGCTGTCGGCGAAGATAAAGCTCTGTATTCCATACTATCAGCGTTGCGCTCACTAAATCCGAAGTTCGACTTACCGCAATCACGTTGATCACGCTCATGATCATGGCTAGAATGCCAGCGGAGAGCACGATCCTCCAGAATGCCATCCCAAGAGATTCCTGGCTGGTAGCGTTCGTGTTTAGGTCTCCCAACACTCCAACTCCCAGTATCAGCATCGCTATCGCCAAAGTGATGAACCCGGAGTTCTGCCCCAATAATGGCCAGTTACGGTCGAAGTAACCGCGGAGAAAGGGAAGCTCGGAGATGATGAGGAATACTGTCATGTCAAATTGTTAGCCATCTAGTACAGTATCTGGAGCACAGGCTACTTACTGCTAACTCCTGCAGTGGCGACATGAGAGACAGCCTCGAAAAAGAAAAACGCTGTTAACAAGTCAATCTTGACCAGCATGACCACACTCGCAGCAATGATGTCTAGAAACACAATGATGTTGATGACACGAATGGCGTTGAGAATCACGTATCCTGGGCCAGCCAGGGATTCTTTCAACGAAGCCATCATGATTTTGGTGTTTAGATCAGCGGCTCAGCTGCCCGAAAGCTTGAATTTTTGGTGACCAGTATGAAAATAGGTGATTGTATCTTAAGAAATTATCGAGTTGGATATCCGTTCTAATTGTGATGCACCTTTATACTCTGCAACAAAAACTTGTAGATTGAAAGGAATGAGTAGTAGGGACTGACCAGCAGTAAAGTGCTAATTGATATGGGTTAAGAGCAAGGAAAGAAAGAACCACGAGGTCAACTCGCGAGTTAAAGAAAGAACGCGGACCCAAAGAGTTAACGAGAGGATGAAGAACAGCCAGAGGAAGTTATTATCTGTCAGATCTACAAATGCCGGACAGTGTTCTGGTTGAGCGGGACTGAAATGCCCAACAAAGACAAGAATAGACACAATAGGCGCGAACCAGAGGCTGAAACACTTTCGACACGATTTTGAATGAACAATAGCCATTCATTCTGGCCCTTAGAAACACTCGTTACCTACTTCGGCGGCATTTGCCCTTTTCCAGGTCCCTGACTCGATCAGTGTTTCTCTCGCCTTGGACTTCCTGATGGATCCCTCCCGAGTCAAAAGCCTACACGAATACAGAGCGCTTAGGACCCTCCACTCAAGATTAGCCATCGATTCGCGTACCCAGTCATATCGAAGCATAAAGATAGAAGCTGAACCAGAGAAGTGAGTGGTATTTCAGGTTTCAGCCCACCAAAAATTGCTCTTTTAGCATCCACCGCTTCACAGATTTGGTGGTGCTACTATCATACTATACTATCTACTAATAGACAAGGACGGGAAATGCCTGTGTTCAAGCGTGGCAGAGCAAGACTAGCGCCGAGGTGTTACCTGTTCAGTTGCCACCAGTACTTCCCACAATATTTATAGAAATGCACCGTGTAAGCGCTTACTCGAGAACAATTGTAGCCAGACTGCGCCCGCTCCGGGTATCTCGGCCTATAGACAAATAAGTCGGATGGAGTGGTCGGTGTTTAGGGTGTTTAGTTGCAGCCGTCCTCTCCAAAACGACGCTAATACTAGATTAGTGCCTTCCTCCCACTTAGTCCTACCTTCCTATTCGGTTGCATCTCTGCCATACTTTCGAGCATCTACACCCACCCTCCTCTGCAAATTTTCCAATTACTATAATTTTGGAGATTATCTATAGATCAAATATTCAGGAGCCTTGTGGGGGCGGGGGGCTCGAAAGACCTACAGTAAGTGTTAAGTGTTCTGCCCCGTTGCTTATACATGCAACGTGCTAAAAGAGTAGATCTACAGGGATGTTGGACGCTACATGTCTTTGTCCAATCATGCTAGCAACACAGCCGCCCACGGTACCCCCTTGACAAGCTGAACATACGCGGCGCAGCAGCTCGCATTGATTAGTTAAGGAAGGTCGCAACGGCCTTAATGAGGGGAGGCCCCGAGCCTTAAGGGTCATTCCGAATTATGAAGGGCAACGCAACAATTCACCACCCAGAAAAGGGTTGGTAGTAAATCAAGCCCAGTGAAAGAGCAGGATTGATATCATGACGGTAGGGTCTTTGTTCGCATGCCGATAGAAAAAGGTTTAATAGCATTCTAGGGCGAGTATTATTTGCGTATATTGTCCGCCGGCGCAGATCCCAATATCGAGTAAGTCATTTCACCGGCACTATGTCTGCTTGCTAACCGACAGTAGCATTGTCGCCGTTCATGGGCTCAACCCCAAAAGCAAGAAAAATCATGCCGAGAAGACCTGGGAGTCGAATGGGAAGCTATGGCTCAGGGATTTTCTTCCCAAGCAACTGCCACGAGCCAGGATTTTCCTCTTCAGTTACAACTCTAAAGTTGCAATCCAGTCATCCGCAGCTGGAGTGCGAGAGCAGGCACATGTCCTCCTTGACCGCTTAAGACTTAAAAGAGAGGTAATCAACAGCAACTGTACCACTGGATCTGTCAAAGAAGCTTACATTGCCTGCAGAAGTGTGAACATCGACCCCTGCTTTTCATTGCCCATAGCCTGGGAGGGATTGTTGTCAAAGAGGTATGAAGCTTCTCAGCTAGAAGCTGTTTCTGGGCTGTCTCTTATGGTTCAATGCCAGGCGCTTGTACAAGCCAAACTCAGCGCAACGTATGGCTCGATATGCACCTCGACCTTTGGAATCGTTTTCTTCGGCACGCCACATCGAGGAACGCACCTGGCACGTGTGGGAGGCGTGGCTGCAAAGTTCGTGAGGGCTCTACTAGGAACAGCGAGCAATACTCTACTGAAGGCCCTTTCAAAAGGCAGCCTTTACGCCCTGGAGCTGTCTGCGAACTTTGACAAGCTTCTTGAAAACTACAAGTATCTGAGCTTTTATGAGACCCTACCATTCAAGAGCATCGGCATAGTACGTATTCCAGGACTTGACTAGATGTTGGCACTAACAAGACACACTGCTCGAATTAGGTTGTGGAAAAAGATTCTGCTGTTCTTGGCTTGCCTGACTCCCGTGAGAAAGCGATCGCATTGAATGCCGACCATGAAGAGATTTGCAGATTTCACTGCGACAAAGACGATCGATATCAATATGTGTCTTCGCTAATTGTCGAAATGGCAAACTCAGGGACGGAGACGCGCCAGTTAACCAGTTGCGTTGATGAATCAGAGTCCACCCTCGTGGCCGATGAAGCCGACCCTTGCTTCTGTAGGTCCTATGCATTACTACATATATGAACTACTGGAAACCGGCTTACACCAACCGGACAGGGATGATACCTTATACACGTAATCCCGGGTTTGTCGGCCGCGAGCATACATTAAGTCAGGCTATGGAGCGTATCATGCCACTCGGAAAGGTTCATTCGAGAGTAGCCTTGTATGGTCTCGGAGGTGTCGGGTAGGTTTTGCGGTTTCTACCAGGGAAGCTTTTGACTGATAAAACAACTAGTAAAACCCAGATAGCCATTGAGCTGGCGCACCAAGTCCATGAAGCCCACCCCGACGCGTCGGTGTTCTGGATCCACGCAAACAGTATCAACCGGTTCCAAGAAAGCTATTATCATCTGATCAAGGAATGCGAGATTGAGAGCCCAGAGGATCAACGACAAGACCTCATGATTGTCAAGCAATGGCTAGAAAAGCAGTGTAAACGCTGGTTGCTGATTATCGATAACGCTGACGAAGCCTCACTCTTCACGACAGATGGTCGTCAAGGACAAAGAGCCTCGACCTCAGATAAGCAGCTGCAAGAAGATTCTTCTATCGTCCAGTTCCTTCCCGAAAGTCCATATGGCTCTATTCTCATTACAACCCGTAACCGAGCTGCTGGTGTCAAATTCGTCAGGGGTATTGGCCGAAACATGCTCGAGGTGGATACTATGACCAAAGAAGAATCGAGATGCTTGATCAAATCTGCTTTGAGTAGCAATTATCCGACAGAGTCGGACATGGATGAGCTCGCGGAGATGCTCGACTATTTACCGTTGGCAATTATGCAAGCCGCTTCATTTATGGAAGAAAATGTGCTCACTGTGAATGAATACATCAAGCTGCATAATGACAGCGATGAAACCAAAATGAGTTTACTGTGCGAGCCCTTCGAGACATTAGGAAGAGACAGCGAAACCCCTAATGCTCTTGCTACCACTCTGATCGTTTCTCTAGATCATATCAATACAAAGGAGCCGAACGCCATCGAGGCTCTTTCCTTTGTTGCTTTCCTTGACCAGCACAACATCCCATCAAGTCTGATGGAACAGAAGGTTGTCGGGCCGCTTGACCTGACAAAAGCGCTGGGTACACTCAAGGCGTTCTCGCTTATAATAGCAACAGGAAAGGGCCAAAACTTTTCTATCCACCGGCTCGTACAGCTTACTGTGCGGAAATGGCTAATCATTGAGCACACCTTCGACGAAAGAGCAATTCAAGCCATGGATACTCTCGCTGAAGTCTACCCGAACGCTCAGTACGAGAACTGGGCTATCTGTGCTGATTATTTGCCTCATGCCGTATCAGTCCTCAAATTCATACCGGAGCTGCATGGGAAGCTGCTGCGAAGGAGGCTCTATCTTCAAGAAGGAATAGCATACTATTTGTGGTCGCAGGGTCGTGACGATGAGGCAGAGAAGCTGGATCTCCTCATCGTGGAAGAGAATAAGAGAGAATTTGGTATAGAACATCCAGAAACATTGGAGAGCATTGCAGGTCTCTCCTCAACATACGCAAATCAAAATCGACTTGCCGAAGCCGAGGAACTAGATTCATTTCTTGTTACGAGCTACAAACGGCTTCATGGGCCCGACCACACTTTGACCCTGGGAAGTATGCTTTCTCTAGCATCTATCTGGAGACAACAGTATCGGTATGAGGAAGCAGAACTCCTCTTTCAAGACGTGCTCAAAACAGCCAAGTCCGTGTACGGAGAACAGCATGAGGAATCGATACGTGCCATTGGCCATTTAGCGACACTCTACTATGACATGGATGAGTATGAAAAGGCCGAACCATTCAAACTTATAGATTGGAAGTGGCACAATGAAAATCTTGGTCCAGACCACCTCTGGACTCTGGGCGTTGCAGAAAATCTATCAGCAATTTATCGCGGGCTGGGTAAGCTGCAAGAAGGAAAAGAGCTGGCCTTCAAGACGCTTCAGAAGTGTGAAAAAAATCTGGGCCAGGATTATTCGACGACAAGGGCTTGCAGACATACACTGATGAATATCTACCAAGATCTCAAAGAGTGGCAAAACGCCGAGGAGTTGTGCTTGCGGCTTCTGGAAGATGAGTCAAAAACGTATGGACCTACTCACTTTGACACACTCGACAGGAAGTCGCAACTATGTGGGATATATTGGGCAATGGGCGATATTGAAAAGGTTAAACAGTTGGACGAGGAACTCATCAAAACCGCCAATCGTGTGTTCAATCCAGATCATCCTTACACTCTGAAATTCACGGCCCTCTCCTGGTATCGCCAAGGCAAAGAAGACGAGGCAATACAATTGATAGCAAAGGCTACAAACAAGATGGAAGTATTGCTAGGCCCTTTTCACACAGAGACTCTAGCGTCACTCGGGATATTGAGGGGCATGTGTGAACCTGAACGAGATGCAGTAGAGATACTGTTGGAGGTCGAGCGGCTTGGCGACTGACAGAAAGCAATCATGTGCAGGAACAAGTACAAGGCGCCTATCCGGCGAAAAGACGGGCAAGCCAGGAATAATGGCTTAGGATTCTATATTTTGTCCAATGAGTTCTTACAAAATCATTTACTCTGGCTCAAGGGGTAGCAGTCCAACTCAAAACGGCAGTCAAGCGGGTGCCACCTGAATAGGATATTCCGGTGGCGGCGGCTCGGCGGCCTTCTGAGGCGGAAAAACCTTCGATGCCCGAAACTCTGCATATGCGAACAGCAAGCACCCTTCGATTCTCTTCTCGATCCCCCTCATTATACTACCTTATATAGGGAGGCGTGTATATAACGAAAGAAAGCCCAACAACTCACTTGTCGTACGTGAACTACCAACAATGGCCCGTGGTAACCAGAGAGATCAGTCTCGCGCGAAGAACGAGAAAAAGAAACAGGAGCTGCTCAAGGTAGATTTTTGCTTGAATCCAGCAATTTCCCCTTGATTACTGACAAACTTCTGCTGCGTAGAGCCAAAAGAAAGCGGTGGGCAAGGGCGGTATACTGGGCAAAAAGGAGCACGATGCTGATAAGATGAGAGCGAAGCAAGCGTTGGGTATGTGAGGCTTTGATCTGCTGTTCTTGCGCCACCCTTTGATTGCTATCTTGCTGACTCTATCGTGATTATAGCCGATCAGCGGAAAGAAGCTGAAGCACTTGCAGCAGCCAAGAAGTAATGATTATCTGTATTCGCCCACGTTGTATAAGTCAGCCCGGAACGTCCTACGATCGTCAGATATCGCATAGCCCTCGTCTACGATTTTGGTTATGCAATCTACCAACTTGTATAAGTCCATTCGGAAGGCTGTTCTCTGGGCGCCCAGACTGGATATGGTTGATATTGGGACGGATCTTAGGACCTGCAATCTGACTTGGCTGGCTTTATCAGATGGGTGTACGTTGCAGATACATGTGACAAGACAATGGCATTTAGCGAGGCGTTCTATCAAGCAGCGTTTTAAGTTTGCATAAAGATGGCGCATATGGTGCAACAAACCTGTGATATATAATACATAGTGTCTACCCTATCTCTACCTCGGGCTGCCGTCACCTATACGGCTACCCGCCTGCTGACCAGCAACCCAAGCAGCCCTTGCTCTTTCCAAGCAGGCCTTCCACCCGTCTGCAGCCCCAACCTCAGACAAAGGCAGGTATGCTAATGCATTCGACGGCGTCCTGCATTGGGCCTTTTCTGAGGCTCCTACGCCTATCATCTTTGTCGCCAAATCCACAAACGTCCAAATGCTCTCGCCTTCCCAACCAACATTCAATGCGAAACGCAATACCCTGTCAATACTGTCTGCTTTGGTCTTTTCATCACGGGCCCAGTCTAGTAGGCGCAAAGTGAACATCCAGCCGGAAATGTCACTGGGGTGTGCGATACACCAGTCCAGCACTTCTGGTATGAGCAAGGCAGCTAGACGCGCAGAAACGTCCCCTTGATCATCATCACAGCTCGATAAAATGTCGAGAAGCTGTCTTATATAAGTGAATCCGTAGTAATTTTTTGGGTGTAGCTCTCCGGATCGGAGAACAACGGAAAGTTCCTTCTTTAGCACCTCCTGGTTTGACACGGTCTCCCTGTCATCTTCTCGCCTTGTCAACCTTTCACTGCCGTCAAAAAGCATCTGCCTCAATACCCATATTCGGTGGTTATACAATGTCGGAGATTTCGTATGACGATGCAGTGGAGAGCAAATGTAGGTGGTCAATAGAGACATCTCCGTGTCCAATTCACGAGTGAGCATGTGCCGACAAGTATAGCCGGCGTCCGCCGAGCCAGCGCGCTGACTTAGGGCAGCCAGACGTCGTTTGCGCCAGCTGCATGCCGTCAGGTGTTCGCAATCGAAGAGGAGGATGACTTCGCTGGCATTTAGCACATCGTCTCTTCGTTTCTGTAGCAGGGATTCGTTTTGCGGAGCTTTGCGCTCGTCTTCATGACCACCGGCATCAGAAAAATAGAAGGGCTCGCTTGAAGCGTCGAAGAATATTCTTCTAGCCGTTACGAACGCCTGAACCAAGTATTTCTTCGTAATTCCGACCGAGTTCCCATCTTGTAGCAGTGGACCAAAACCAGGCGGGAGTATCTCGATCTCTAGGACATTGTTATCTTTGCGTCTAGCGGAGAATATTCGAGCGAGTTCGTTGTAAGCCGCATTTCCGTCCGGAGGAGTAGACATTGAGAATCACCCGCCTTGCAGCATGGCGTACGAATCGTAGTAATAGCGGACGTTATGTTAATGTTGGAAAGGGACATGGTTTAAAAACTCGGGGGTGAAAATGAAAGTTGCCGCGCCGCGGCCGACGGGCGGGAAACAAACGTGACAACGTCATTTGCTGTTCTCACTCCATTCATTCATGGATGTCATTTCTCTTTCAGCCTCAGCCTTTCTCTCTCTCTCTTTGTCTGCTCGCTCATTGTGTAAATCTTCCTCGAGCTTGCTTTAGGAAACTTGCTCGTCTGAGGCAGGTCGCACGCACCACTCTCCGCGCAAGTCGGTCGGGCTTCGTGGTCTCTTTTCCGCCCACCTCTCCGGGAACCAATTCGATCTATTCCTTGTTCTCTTTCCCTCCCTCCTCCCCTCCGGCAATTGATCGCAGCCGACGTCTAGCCCATCATGCTGTCGCTTTTGTGGTCGGTTTTCTTCGTCCATGTCGCCATCTATTTGGTTAATACCATTGGCGCTAGCACCATTGATAATCTGGTATGTTTTGTCTCGGAGCTTGCTGGTTGGCGGCCGTTTAGCTGTCATGCCTTGAGCTATTCTCTTTAGAGTTGAAGTAAAGCTAATGAGTACTTTCTAGCTATGGCTCCTCTACCTAAAGGTCCCGACCTCTACGTCGAAGAAATACAGGGAACAAAACCGACTTAAGCGCGAGGTCGTCCAGCTGAAGCGGGACATGAACAACACCAGCTCACAGGATGAGTTTGCGAAATGGGCGAAACTCCGACGGAAACATGATAAGACTATGGAGGAATATGAGGCGATAAGTACGTTTGATTTCCGATCGCAGTTACGGTCTATATATTGGTTTGGGGTTTGGGGAACTGGCTGGTTCAAGAAAGAGAAGCTAACAAAGGCGGGTTCAACAGACAAACAGCTCAGTTCGCAGAAAACCTCTTTCGACTGGGGCGTCAAAATCGTTCGCTGGTTCGGTACATCTGGTCTCAAGTTCTTCCTGCAGTTCTGGTACTCGAAAACGCCTGTCTTCCATCTGCCGGAGGGCTGGCTTCCTTACTACGTGGCGTGGGTGCTGTCGTTCCCCCGGGCGCCGATGGGTTCGGTGAGCATCCAGATTTGGAGTAATGTTTGTGCGACGGCGATTACGACGATGGCGGAGGTAGTGACGGCTGTTTTGTTGCAGAGGGCTACTGCTGCTGCTGCTGCGCCTGCTGCGAAGAAGACACAATGAAGTTATGTGTATGTATGCTATGCTAATGGATGCATGGATGTTTTGAGCTACGTGGAGTTGGATGTGTAAAAATAAGATGGTTCTTTTGGAAGATAATTGATTCATATTTTTTTTTTACTTATGAAATAATGATGCGATGAGGGTATCAATAATGAATATGAAATGTATTTGTTCATCAGATAAAAAAACAATCGTTTATCGTCAACGACCCCATACCGTAGTAGGGGTTTCAGGGCTTGACTCTATGATTGGTATATCATCACACGAACAAAATCAAAACATCATCAATAGATAGATGAAAAGATGGAAAGTAGGAGTAGTAGTAGAGTCCGGCTCCTTCGACAGAGCATCTGCAACGAAAGCCAAAAGATGAACTAAATCACCAAGGGCCCACAATCACCGCTTTCCATAAGCTACAGACTCGTAAAAAAAAAAAAGAAAAAGAAATTGAACTCCTCGCCTCAAGAATGAGCCCCATTGAGTTACCCCCTAAATATTTCCCGACTAACGCTCCCCGACATATTTTCAGACGTGAGAGGTCGGCTCGAAGAAACATATAGGACGGGCAATCGCATGACTATCCAAACACGACGAAAGGCAACCCAAATGAAACCCCCTCTCCAGCACTGTCCCGCACCAACCATTGTTACCCACAAGCCACCATAAGGTGACAAGTGATCGGGTACAGAGACAAACACTAGGAGGGGAATAGGGCGTATAAGCCGCTATCGAATTGCTTCTATGGCGGCGCGTTTCCGCATTGCCTGACTGGGCCCTACAAGAGGACGTTTAGACAGTCAGGATGTCCGGGGACTTTCTCCCAAAGCTGAGGGGGGAAAGAGAGAGTCGTGAAGACTGCTCTCTGTGTGTGAGCTTTGAATGCGATTCTTTGAGCGAGGAGTTGGGAAGAGAAAGGGAAAGAAGAGGAAATTTGGATTCGGTGCGTGGGTTTTTTTATAGCCGATTAGTCAGGGAGTGGAGCTGTGGGTCGTGGTAGGTGTCATGTGACTTTGGGTTTTCTATGGTGTTGCGGGTAGTGTGCCAGAGGCATGCTGAGAATTACGTGGTGGTTGTGTGAGAGTTTTTGGGTATACGTTTACTGGACAGAATTATGAGTCAAGAATAGCTTGTTGAAGCGAAAATAATGTCCCTATTTTTTCATGTACAATCGATTGAACTCCGGGTAATTCTTGTTTAATGCCATAAGAAATACAAAAGTAGTATATAAACCCCCAATCTCCTCAAGCCTTAGACTTGGCCTTGGTCTTCTTCTGGACCTTCTTGGCCTTCTGGGCAGCCGGGGAAGCAGTTTCTTCGGTGGTCTTCTTCGGGGTAGACTTCTCTGCCGACTTGGGAGTCTCCTGCACAGCAGGGGACTGGGCAGCCTTCTTAGTCTTCTTGTTGGTCTTCTTAGGGGTATCTTCAGCGGGCTTCTCAGCCTTGGGTTCCTCAACCGGGGCAGCCTCAATGGCCTTGGCGGGTTCTTCAGCAGCGGGCTCAGAGGCCTCGATGGCCTTGGCCTCCTGGACAGGAACCTCATCCACGCTCTTCAGTTGCGGGATGTCGAGGTCGTAGCCCATAATTGCTTTGAGCTTCTCAGCCTTGGCGAGACGTCTCTTCTGCTCCCTCTCGATGCGCTCCGTCCACTGCTCTCTCGTCTTGCCCTTGTCAAGACGCTTCTTCTCGATGCGGTTCCAGGGGGTGCGCTTGAACCGTCTGTTGGCACCCTTCCAGACCTCCGGGTGGAGCTGTTCAGGGGACACGTATTTGCACTTCAGGATGTGACCGTACATGAGGTAGTTGTCCATGGTGGCAGCAACAATCTTAGCGACAGAGGTGTGGGCGAACTCGATGAAAGCATAGTGCTTGGAGCGACCGGTGATACGGTTACGGGAAAGACGCAGGCGAGTGATTTCACCGAACTGGCTGAAGTAGGCGCGCATCTGGTGCTCGTAGAAACCGTGGGGAATGCGTCTGTAGCATAGCGTGTTAATAGTAGTCACAACCGAACTTCCTGATGGTTCAACTTACCCGACGTAAACCGTTCCGGGCTCCTCAACGTGACCGGCATTCTCCTTCTGCTTCTTCAAGATCTTGCGCTTGGCCTTCTTCGAGTCGGGAATCTGAGGCACCGGCTGGTCGGGGTTGAAGCCTTCATCGCCAGACTCATCCTCGTCACCACTGCTCTCGAAGCCCCTGATGAGGGCAGCTGTGCGGTCATCCTCCTCATCCTCACTCTGGCTAGCATCCGAGGCGGCGGACTCGTCTTCCTCAGATTCTTCAACGACAGGCTCTGCCTTCTTGGCCTTGGTGTTGGCTTTGGCGGGCTTGGATTTTGTCGCGGGAGCAGCTGATCCGTCCTCCTTCTTCGACTTCTTGGTGGTAGGCTTCTCCTCCTTCGCGACCTTGGGCTCAGCAACCTCCGCCTCGGACTCACTGTTCTCGTTGTCGCTCAGGAAATCGGCTGCGCGCTTGCGAGGCTTGATCTGTCTGGCGGGCTGGCCATTGGCCTTGGTCTTCGAAGTGCCATCGGTCTTTGTAGCCGCCTCTTTTTGGTTGGCCTTCTTGAGGATAGGCTTGGGGGATTCGGCAGGCTTGGCCTCGACCTTCTTGGTCTTCTTTGCGGGCGAATCGGCGGCAGTGGCAGCGGCAGCTGAGCAGCGTCAGTATGCGCACCAACAGGTTGAAAATGAAAATCTCTCAAACGGTGTAACAATACATACCCTTGCGCTTCTTGTCCTTCTTGTCGGGGGCCATCCTGCTGTGATTTTTGGGGATAATTGCAGGCGGTTCCTGGGGGACTACAATCGGAGAATCGCAAAGGTGCGGGAAACTTTTTTTCTGCTCGCAATTTTTCGGGCGCCAAGCGGTGAATGCAATCCAGCCCGGCCGACGGGGCCTCGCCGCGACTCCAACTCTAAGCTCTTGTTTCTCCGCAACCCAACCATCTCACACGCCCGTTTGTTTGCGCGCATTTACCAGGGTCATGGGGAAATCGGCCAAGGCGAATAAACCCCTTACTCAGGAAGAGATCTGGGATGATTCGGCCCTCGTCCAGAGCTGGGATGAGGCTGTCGAGGAATACAAAGTATGGGCTTCCTTCCCGGCACGTGATCCGCTCGCTGACCAGAACAACAACAGCTCTATCACAGCATCCATGCGAAGGGGGAGAATGTTGAAGATGTCCTGAGAGAAGCAGAGGCTGCTGAAAAAGCTGAGGTGGAACAAGATGAGCAGCCGTTGGACGAATCGGCCGACCGCATGGATGCTGACGTCGACGCCGATACTGCTGCCAATGCAACAACTCCAGCGGAACCTCAGCAGGTGCCACAGGCCACACCGTCGCAAGTGAGTTGCTCCGTTTGTCGGGTTGAACCTACTGGACTGACTTCATTTCAGGCCGCGGAAGGGCCGGAACAGCCTTCTGGACAGGGTGCCCATGTCACCGATCAAACGGCTGGGCCAAGTGCCGTAGGAGCACCTCCTATGCCTCATGCCACCCTATCCCAAGGTAAGATGCGCTCTGACCCTTTTTTGCTGTGGAGAAATCTGACTCTCTCTAAGTGCAAGATGAGGGACTCAAAAACCTCATGATGGCATGGTACTATGCTGGATACTACACTGGTCTATATGAGGGCCAACAGCGAGCGAACCAGAACAAGAGCTCATAACCCAGCTGAAAGTATAGTAACGAAGTGACAAGCATCTATCTGCGTTGTTCGCAATTCTGGTAGGTTGCTTTGAAGTATGAGCGCGGAAAGCTAAATCCCCAGGACGGCCGCAGGCGCAAACAACATCCCGTCTGGGTACAGGCCAGGATTAGATGAGAATCTCTCCAGGCGGCTGTAGATGGGCATGCACCTAGTTTGGCATGTTACCTGAGTAGGCGGGCTTGTCGTTGGGCCACAATCACCGGTTGCGACTTTGGAATTCTACATGAAGACTGTGGAACAACGCTGCGTACATGGAATAATGCGCGGTGGCCTTACTGGCGGCCTCACCCTGGCCCCTTTGACTTCGTGCGGTCTAGATTCTGGATATCATTCTCATGTCTATTTGCCTCCTGGTTATTAGAAATGCACTTTCGGGAGCTATATATCCCCATCCTTCCGCCCATCTTGTTTGTTCCTTGATCTCCAGGATTCTTCTCTCTCTCTCCTCTCGTATATATATATCAACCCCCTCGCGGACAGTTGGAGCTGCCATTCATTCGTCCCATCTTCTCTACTAAGCGCACACTCAAGGAGATAGGAGAGACCTTCAATGTATCATGGTGTACCCACTTCAAGTCTGAGGAACTGGAGCACCAATCTTTCGACCGTATACTATTGTGGGCTCTGTAGAAAACCCCATATTCCCCTACTTTGTCCATGAAAGAAATTCTTGGGTGCTGTCGCCCGGTGAAGCCTGGTATCCCCCACGATGCTGGGAGCATATATATAACCTGCTAAAAAGGTGAAAACATGACGCATAATGGTTTTTACATACAAAATTATTGACCTTCCTATAGGCTCCATCCATCAGTTTCGAGAATCCAAAGTATTCAATACAATCTTCGGACCTTCCTGCTCAGTAAGTCACGGCCTCTCTCTTTTACATAGGTTGCGCGATTAACGAGGCTCTGTAGGTCTAAGATATCAATCGCAGAGCGATCACCTCTGCTATCACCTTCGGCCAAGTAGCAGTGACAATCGAGCGATCCTGATCAGTTGTTGCCCTGCGCCGGGGCGATCCTCATACAACCCGGTTCTCCTTCAGTGGCCCACAGGATCCCAATGTCCTGGCATAGGCTTTCGAGCATCTTGCCATTCCCAATTTTCATGGACGGTTCCTGTTAGGCCTGGGAACCATGGCGGCCTGCGCTACGTGTTGATTGAGAGCGAATGAAGAGAAGATCCAGAGGATCCTTTCGAGGAACTTTCTCAGAGTAGATGGGAATTGACCAGGGGGTCACCAAATGTCGTCTTGCCGACAGCGGTTCATCTCCTGCTGCAAATACA